TATTATTATACAGTCTCAGGCTTTCTTTGCTGTCTTGAATTGGCACTTTTCCACAAGGTACCACCACTTCAACAGATGTTAACTGAAGTGAGCCCCATCCTAAATTGTCTATAGCCTACTGGTGAGAACATCAGCTGAAGGTCTGGATGGTGGTCACCAGATGACCATCATGTCTGCTGTTTGTTCCTTTTTTCTGGTCTCTTGTGAATTGCCATCTGCATTTAACGTAGTAGACTTTGATGAGTTATCAGCAGACTCTCCTGCTGTAGGGATATTCCATCTCTCTGCAGGACTGGTTTCTTCCACAGAGGACTTGGTCAACATGGCTCTGTGTCAAGGAATTAGCAACTGTCTTTACCTTGGGCAATAAATTCCTGATATTTAGACTGTGGAAGGAATGGCCAAAACTCTGGTGGTTTTGTTTTGGTTTTAAGTGACTCTATTAATGTAGTGAAATGAAAGTCTTTAAGGAGAGACTTGCCCTAAATTTGAATTGATAGGACACTATCTGAACACTCACAGGAGTGAATAACACTGAGATATTACTTTCAGCTTAGAGAAAAAACATCGAGACATTTTAAAAGTGTGTCTCGCATTCAGAAACATTATGAAATATATCTACTTTAATAGGCGTGGACAAAAATGCTTAGAAAGAAGAATATATTCATGGAGTTATATACATAAATAGTTATTACTTTAAACCCGTGCTTTAATAAATCCAAAAAGACATCCAAGTGCTTGAGCTAGTCAAGTGATAATGAAATGAAGCTAGAGTTACACCTCAGCGCATTAGAGTAAGTGGAATATAGATATAGGGAAATTGTTCCATTAGTTGAACATATCATTAGGCCTATTTTGCGAGTGGAATGCCAAAGAAATTAGTCGCGTAATAGTACTGATATTAAGACAACGGCCAAGAGCCTTGTCATTTGCAAACTTTATATATATAGGGGTAAGAGGCAGACTTCTAAGTAATTTCATATCTTAGGAGTGTAGCAAAGCTGTTCACTAACAGACCAGTTGTCACAGTCTCAGCATTTCTGATTCAATCTCAGTAATCAGTAGCCTGTACAGAACCTGAGCCAAAGCCAGCGTGCTCCAAGGGGGACTTGGGATCTCTTCCTAGTGGTTGTCCAGAAAAGCCCTAGTTTAGGAGGTTAAGGGTCCTGGTCCACGCAGAGTTTTCTGTCGAACCTCTGGGGTTTTGCAGAAAAGTTTTTGTACGTCCTGGTAGAAAAAGAGCAAGGGTGGAAGACTCTTTCTGTAGAATAATCAACCTTTTGTGCTTAAGATGGCTCACTGTTTTAACATATTAGGTGTGACAAACAGTAATTTTTTTTGTCTTTTTACCAATTGAGTCCTATCTCCTAGTGGAATGAGATAGCCTAGCCATTCTCCCTTCATTCAGCTGTGTTGGGAAATTCTCTCTGCTTAATCCAAGAGAATGTCTTGTTACATATCTTTCATGCAAATAAAATATCCTTGTCTGCAGTCCTGGCTCAGATGTGCAGTTCTTACATCAGTGGATTCATTGCTACTAGTATTATGAGTGAGCTTTCCGGGAAAGGAGCTGATAGTCCTACCATTTATTTCTCTTGGAATTCATTGTTTCTTCTAACAGAATTCTACGTGGAGCCTAGATATGAGGCATTACTTTTATTGCTAAATATATATATATTTGTAGGATTGACCGGGAAATGGTATAAAACCAGTCCCCCTTGAAAAGTTAGATTTACCAACATTTACCTTACAGTGATACATACTTCTAGGATCCTATTTGTGGGAGTAAAATTAGGAGTATTTGTAAACAGTTGCCAGCTGGAGGCAGACACCTTTTTTTTTTTTTTTTCTCTCCTGTGTAATGTGTATGCCTAGCTACTTAATATGTCAGATAGATAATCTTGTAAGGACCTTTGGCAAATGCTTATTTTTCATGGTGGCTGTTGTATATTATGAAAGGTTTATCTTAATTGTAAGGCTTAAAGTATTTC